AGAGAGAGAGAGAGAGAGAGAGAGAGAGAGAGAGAGAGAGAGAGAGAGAGAGAGAGAGGAGGTGCCAGGGTCTTTAAGCAACGAGCTCTCGCGGGAACTAATAGAGTGAGAACTCACTCATTACTCCCCCCACCTAGGGAGAGTATTAATTCATTCATGAGGGATCTGCACCCGTGGCTCAATCAGTTTCCAACACTGCCACATTGGAAATCGAATTTCCACATGCGTTTTGGAGGGGACAACACATCCAAACTCCATCAGTGTCCAAATTGATAACTGATTAGTTTGTTCAGATATATGAAATAAAGCCAAATTTCTAGCTGACAGGTTTAAGCCTTTCAGAATTTGGAAATGAGCTCTTAGGAACACCCAAAATTTTTCCCTAAAGGTCTGGGGCTTTTGCTGAGATGAGATATTGAGTCTTAAGAATCTAGACAATTTCATAATATTAGGTTGAGCAATTTCACTGTAGTGTCTTACTCTATAACTAAGTACTAGGAAAAATTGTACTTTAGTAGGGCTGATGCAATTTTTGGAGCACTATACCATATTACTTTCTCCAAATTGGACTGTGTCATCAGGTAAAGGGTCAGTGGTAGACTGGAGTATTTTTGCTGAAAAGAAAAAAAATCAAGTTAATCACTGAGGATAGGATCTGATCAGATTAGGGCTCAAGTCAATTTTCTACTCTCCTCAAATAAAATGGGGGGTGAGGTGGGGACAGGGGGACAAAACAGCCTTAATAATCTCAGTGAACACCAGATTTAACAAAAATAAGCTATTTGTATTTTATTTATTTATTTATTTTATTTAACTTCTCAATATACATTGTAGTTGATTTTTATGACCCTTTACTCGTTCCTCTTCCCCCCTCCCTCTCTCCCCTCCCAAAGATAAGCTATTTTTAAATGGATGTTTCTTACATCAAAAATAAAAAGGCTGATACAGATCAATTTCCCAGCTCTGTTCTGGAGTGAAACATTTACCTATAGTTTCCTCCATGTGGAATGTGATAGGGCTAGGTTGTGTTTTGAAAACTATTATAAAACATCAACCAGTGCATAGGAACGTCAATTGGAACCATATGTATGAGTGTGACCTGAGCCTTTGACTTGGCCTAGAAGATTTCCTTGAGGAGTCTTAGCTGTTAGCAGCCACTCATTTGAGGAGCAACAATCTGGGC